AGCACGTGGATGTCTGAGCTTCTCTAAGTAAATTTCCAGTGTTTTTAAAGGTCATCTACGACTATGTGGGTAACTTGGAAAGGTGCTCAGAAGCAGAAGAGCAGTTACAAATTTGGGGTCCGACTGGTACCAATGCATCACATAAAGAGCTATTTAAGTTACAGGGGCTTGGTGGGTCCAGCAGATATCAAACATTCAGTGACAGGTGGAAACAAATATTCTCTACCTCCACCCCTTTCTTTCGCACCGAGATTCAACAAAGCAACATGCACCAGGACCCTAGTGTCCTGTCTGGTTTTTTTGTTTTGTTTTGTTTTGGGTTTTTTGGTGTTTTGAGACAGGCTCTCACTATGTAGTTGAGACTGACTTGGAGCTCACTATATAGCCCAGGCTGGTCTCGAACTCACAGAAATCCTCCCGCCTCAGCCTCCTGAGTGCTGGGATTACAGGTGTGCGCCACCACACCTGGCTTCCTAGTGACCTGTCTATGGCAGGAAGTACCCTATTCATCTTTTGAGGATCCATAGTCATCACTGAGACAAAACAACAGAATAATCCCTGGTCAGCCAGAGCCACGTCACCTTCCCTGTCTAGAACTGGCAGGGAGACTATCTTCCACCCACGCACATGTGTCAGCCCTCCAGGGGTTGGTTATCAGGCACCCGTGGTACACTGGGAGCTAAAAGCAGATTCTCAGTGTTCATCAGCTCTTGGCATTTACCCTGATCACATCGCCTTCCATCTCACACAGAACAGGCAGTACAGTCTGAGACTATTGGGAACCACCTTGTCTCATCTGGGAAGAGACAGCTGCGTGCAGAGAGGAGGATGAACAGCTTTCCACATCCCAGTGCTCCGTGGCGATGCGGAGCCTCGTATTATGATACGGAGCTAATTTCTTAACGAGATCCTTCGGATGAATTCAGTCGACCTAGGCCATGAAAGATGGTCCACAGGAATGAGGCAGACACCTCAAAGTACTTGAATAGCACAAGGTAAAGTGTCAAGGCAGAAGTAAAGTAAACGGGGGGAGATGCGTAGAGCTAAGGTGATCTTCTCTGGATCTGGCAATCAGCTCTTCTCAGTGCGGTCTTCAACACCTCTTCATTCTCACATCTTAATTTCCTCAGCTCTGTGTGTCTGTCTTTATCTCAAGAAATTGAGACAGAGAACCTTTGCGGACACTTTCAACCTTTTTCGTTGTGAAAAGGACTAAAAGATTCCTTAGAGACAGTCTTTTCAGCTCCTCCATGTTACACCTGATAAAACTGAGGCCCTGAAATGGAAAAAGATTTTCCTAAAGCTGTTAGAAAATCCAAAGTGATAATGGGAAAATGAAGCAGAAGCTCAGTGATATCTGTCCTTGTGTTTAATGACCAATGAGACAGGACAGCTGCCACAGTGGTTCTGGTGTGATTTCTTCTTTCCCCTCTGAACTACCTACCTTTCCTACATTTTGCTGTCAATTTTATTAAGCTATACAGATTATTTCAGTTGAATTACGAGTATTTGTTATATAAAGAAAATTCATCATTTCACAGATATAATAAACATTTTGGTGAGCTATTGATGATTGTTTTCTTTTGCATATACAATATTCTTACCTTGAAAATATTTTTGATGTTTATAAAGATCACAGTCTTATTATTCTTAGAAAAGTATTTCTCAGTGGAGTGTTTTAGAATTAGAGGGTGGCTAGTCTCCTGTGTCCTTGTCAGTGGTGATCTTGCACTGTATTTTCCCCCAAACTCTCACAAGATCAATAAAACATAAACACCATTCCTTCAAAAGAATCAGAAATCTGAGAACAATGAGATTTCACACATGAAAATAGCAACAGGTTTTCAGTGGACTTTTCTCTTGCACTTCTGCCTCTACCCTTTACAGAGAATAAACTGGGGCCCAAAACATGCACATAAAGAAAAGAGGGAAAAATGGAAATCCCAGAATGCAACTCATTTCCAGAGAGAGGATGTGCTTAGTAAGTGTGAAATAATGGTACAGTCCCGGTGGATCGGAGCATATATTGGAGTTCCTGTGTTCAAGTATCGGGACCATCCTAATATTCACACCTTGTACTACCATGGTGCATCTATCGCAACCAATAAACTATTATTAATACATTACTACTATTAATATCTTTACTTTACTTATATTACCTGCTTTTTACTTAATATCTTTTTATTTCAAGATCCCATCCATGCTACACTATTATTCTGAGTTGTCATGTTTCCTTAGGCTTTTCCTGGCTCTGATAGTTTTTAGACCCTAGATGGTCCAAATTATCATTCTAACGAATGTCTCTGTTTCCTGTTCTGTTCTTACACTCCTCATGTGGGCCTCAACTTCCTCCCAAACATTTCTTCCTCCAGAGTCCTAAGGAACTCTCTGCCTGAGTTCTGTGCTATGATTTGTGTCATGCTATTGCTCCATATTGTATCATCTAGGTCTAGCATTTTGGGGGCTAAAGATTAGATTTAAAGTAACTTTTGATAGTTCTTTCAGGATAGTTCTAGTTTATATTTTCTCTCTATTTTAAGAAAGTTGATGTGTTTTTTTGTTGTTGTTGTTGTTGTTGTTCTCTGTGTTGTCAAAGAACTTTGAATAGAATTCTCTAAAAATACTTTAAAATTCCCCTCTTTTGTGCTTTGAGGATTTCATTTTCTCACTCTCTTGCTAATTTTGTGCACTATATTTGTTTCTCAAGTATTTCTCCTTCTTTGTTTCAAGATGACTTTTTCCTTCTCCCATTAAGATAGCGTATCTGGAATTTATTCATCACTCAATCTCCTCTTCTCAAGTCACTGATTTCTGCTTTCATCTTTATCAATACATTCAGTCCTTTCTAGCTTGAAGTATATTTTTCAAATTTCATTGAATTCTGTTCTGATATGGTATTATAATCTCATACTATTTTTGGTTTGCCTTTTTATACTTTTCCTTTTTAAAAAAATTTATATGTCTTGAGCCTTTTGCTTTTTCTGTATCTTTGGCACAGTGAATTGGACAAGGGTTTTGTTCTTTAATAAATACATAAAAATCAGTGTTATCAGATTCTTTCTTCTACTAATAAGCTTTGAATGGAGTGGTTCCTGGTATTTTCTGGGGAGACTTGGGAGAACTGGAGAGATGAGAAGACACTTTAGGAGGTTTTCATTTAAGATAATTTCAGCCTACTCTCTAGGGTCTCTGTTGGAGGTCAATAATTGCTGCCTTTGGGACAGAAAGATTACTGCGTGGGAGATTAGACTTAGAGTGATACCCCATAGCTTTCATGGTTTCTACTTGACAATTTTGTATTTGTATCTATGTTCTTTCCATAAAAATATGGGTGGTCTTTCTCTTACCCCTTCCAGACATCATGCCCTATGGTAGTTTGAGATTTTAGGACAGAATTATTGAAAATACATTTTGAAGCCTTCTTCATTCTACAATGATCCCTGTCGCTCTAAATACCAATAAGCGTACAGTACAGATAGTCTCCTCTTTTTTGATCTGCTTATACATAGAATGCATTTGTCTTAGTTACTTTCCTTGTTGCTGAGACAAAGTACCTGACTCTCAAAGTTAAAAAAGGAAAAGTTTATTTCCGGTCAGTTTGTAAAGGTTTCGGTCCATAGCTGATTGGCTCCAAGGCAGGGTGGCATGGCAGAGGGGCATCAGAGGAGAAACAGTTCATGGTGGGCAAAAGCAGCAAAGGAGCAGGTAGCAAGCAGCAAGCAGCAAGGGGCAACAGCAGCCCTCTTTCTGTTTTTTATAACCCACCCTTAGGGAACATAGCACACACACCTAGGGTGGTCACCCTTAATCCTAGCACTGCACTGGTGAATCAATCCCAGTGACACATCCTTAATCCCAAGACCACATACTCTAGATTCAGCCATCTCTGAAAAGCTCCACATATGTCTGCATGAGGCTTTGGGGGGACATTTAGATACGAGCCATAACAACATATGTCAAACTAAAAAAAAAAAAAAATCCTTTGGACCATTCAGAATATCCTGAAAAATGAAGAACTGCACTTTTATACAAGGTATAAATATTCACTGGTATCCTCTCTTAATATATTAATGGATTCATCAGTGCTTACAAATATTCCTTACTACCTATAGCTTTTAAAATCTTCCTTAGGAAAACTTTAAATTAAAAATATATTTTTTTTGTTTTAATGAATATCATGAAAAATCCCAGTAAGGAAACTTAACATTTCTTTCTAGCAGTTATTCCTATTATCACTGAAGCATGTTAAATTACTCCTGTCCCTGAAAAACATCCCTACAGCTCACCTCATGTTCCAGATCCAGCTTCAACTCTCACTGCCCTATACTTGCAGATTTCTTGAAAATGTTGCTGTTTTCCATCCTCCACGTGGGAACACAACCCAAATGAATTAATCTTCCCTTATCAAAATTAGTAAGAGAAACTCACATTTGATGAGCTTTGGGCTTATGGAGCATATATTATGATGAACTTTCTACCACTTTTGACACTGGTTTGTACCTTTAACTTAGAAACTTTCTCTTTTGGCTTCCATAAATTTGCATTTATTCCCTGTGTTTTATACCTTTATGATTGCTCCTTCCCACATAAAACAGAATATACCTCACACTCATTTTTGAAATAGGTTGAAGTACAAGGTTGCATCTGTGATGCAGCATTTAAATCTTGACATCTGAAAGCACCACACATTTAGAGTATGAGAGCTTGATGATCCAACTAATTGTATGCTTTGCACTGAATCTCTTCTCTACTCTGCACTAATTTTTTTTCAAAATGCAGGAAACTCTTTGTGAAGAACTGTGTATATATGACTATTTCCTGGGCTTTGTGTCAGTAGAGGTAGGTCTCCAACATCACGTCCCTGTATAAAGTTCCAGGGAGATTGACGATGCCCCTATTGAACAAGGTGAGAGAAGTCCACATTTACAGATAAGGAAGAAAGGGAAGTGCCTTTGTAACTTCAGCCACACGCATAACACACCCAGGCAAGGGAGATATAAATGAGAAGCTCACCTCAGCTCTCAGTCAAATCCCTTCCTGGCAAGATGAAGTCCACCGTCTTCTTCATCCTTTCTCTGCTCCTCATTCTGGAGAACCAAGCAGCTGGGAGGAGACTGCATGGTGAGTGGAGGGATCCGGTTGGGCAATGGATGTCCTATAAGGACATTCTGGATGTGAGTAGAAGGCTGTTCTTCTCCCTGACAACAATGAGCCTTCTCTACCCAACACCATAGTTGTGGGAACCCCAGGGGACTCATGAGGAAAAAGCGGAGAGGTAAGAGTTGAAATGAAATTTTGCAGATAATGGAGCCTAAATGTTCTTATTATCAGTTACCAAAGGAGTAGGAAGCCAGTTACCTGATGGATCATACTAATTTACAAATAGACAAGAATGCCAATGCTCTGCTATTCAGGACAAAAAGGCAAACAGCAAGCTAGATCCTAAGGCAATTTTAGATCTAAATGAAACAGCAAGTAGATGACAATATCATGACTAATAGTGAACATGTAATCAATATTGTCAACATGCACAACATTCAGTGAGAATATCTGACCAACATCTGGGTAGAAAACAAGAAATATTCACTCATGCACATCAAAGCAGATATGAAAGTTAATTATTGTATTATAATTTATAGCATGTAGATGGCAATTCTCATAATTGGGTAGAAGATGCTGTGCTAGATCAAGAGTATAACCATATGTAAATATAATGTCAGGCAAGTATCTAAGTAGAGAGCAAGGGCCACTCAATTGCAGACAAGATAAAGCACAAAGGGAATTACAGGTACTTTTCCTTTCCCAGCACCCAGTGGGTGACAAGGACTATAGCTACATCCTAAATTCTATTTCTATTAACTGCAAGTCCAAAATGCAAGTGCAATCCCAGGGGAATGTCGAAGCAGGCAAATACCTGTGTGTTGTGGACAGCAAGATAGGCCACAAAATGAACCCAAGAGTGTTTTCCTATCCAAACTTAACAGCAAGTACATGGCAAGGACAAAACTTGACACAAATTCTAACCATGGCCAAGGGCATATTCACAATGCAAATGGAATGTAAAACCGTGTCCAATTAGAGAAAGAAATTCACTCAATCCTGGAAAAAAGAAAGGTCAGAAAGATGGATCATAGTCAGTTTTCCTATCTGAACAAAACAGGTGATATGTAACAAGGATAAAAGATCAGAGTTGACAAGTAAAGGGAATTTGAAGAAGACAGAGTAGCACCAGAGGGTAATATACTAATCCATGTGAAGATGAATTCCTGGGAATGACATTTTATAAAATCAAATGAATTAATTTGTCACCGAACACTGTTGCACAACTGTAATCCCAGTGTGTATTAGGGAAGCTGAGACAGAAGGTCACAAATCGGAGACCCACCCAGGCAGTTTAGCAAGATCCTGCCTCAAACTAGAAAATAAAAAGACTTGAGGATGTAGCTCAGTGGTAGATGACTTCTGGGTTTGATTCTCAGTACTGCAAAAAGAAAAGGGTTTTTAATTTTTTCTTCATTCTAAAAACTTTTTTTTTTTTTTTTTTTTGCATGGTAAGCCTGTGTTTACTACTGGACTCTATCCTAGCCTAAATACTCCTTAGATGGAGAATGAAAGACTAATAATCAATAAAGAATGACAAAGGAAACAGAAAATTTTCAGAAAAAGAAATGTGTCTTTTAAAATATGAAAAGATTAAAATAATTTGTGATAGAGAAATCATAGTAGAAATTTTCATGTGGTGTAATTTCTCACTTATAAAATCTACAGAGATGTTTAAATTAGACACACATTCTGTGCATGAAGCTGGATGGAAACCGGCTGTTTCCTTCATAGCATGTGGGAATACAAAATAATACAACCTTATCAAGGGAAATAGAACAATAATATCCAGATTTCACATGTGATTATCCTTTGTACCAGCAAACCTATTTCCAGGCATGCAACCTGCAAGAAAGAAAACCAAGAAAGGCCACATGTGATATAGTATATAAAAACAAAAGTTTGGAAATGACATATGAGTACAACATTACATTATTAAAAGCTAAAGTAATTAATGAATTATGTACATATTTTGAAGCTTTAAAATACACACACACACACACACACACTCCCCCTACCACACACATATTTAGTTCACCAATAGTCTAAAGTCTAGAATGCTACATAGTAAAACCTAATAACTTGCATCAATCAGTATGCCCCTCACAAATTCTGAAGCTTTAAAATACACACACACACACACACACACACACGCACACACACACACTCCCCCTACCACACACATATTTAGTTCACCAATAGTCTAAAGTCTAGAATGCTACATAGTAAAACCTAATAACTTGTATCAATCAGTATGCCCCTCACTCATTCAGAATGTTTTCTTCCCTCACTTCTAGATATACCCACTGGGCTGAATTTCACCCTCATTGTTTCCTCATATTTCTGCACCCCATTTTGAGATCTATTCCATGTGTAGATTATGTATTCCCTTGGTTTCCTTAGTTTTGAGCTTTTAAAAATCATTTTATATAGTCTCTTTTGCATTCTCCACCAACATTATTTTGATTATAGTTAGGTTGTGCATGGCAGTAATTTACATTATTTTCATATTTGTCTAATATTTCATGTTAGTAATATGTCTGGAGTATTATCTATTATCTTATAAATAGTAATATGGTCTATTCCCAATATTTGGTTGATAAAAACTATATTTGTGAACATTTTTATACATATTCCTTAGTAAAGATGTGAAAACATCTTAATTTCATATTAGGGTGTGTAATCACTAGATCATAAATTTGTGTAAATTCACTTTGACTAGTGAAACTAGTCAAAACTATAGTCAAACTAGTCAAACTATATCTCAAGTAGAATGCATCAATATAAATTCTAGTTTTGGGTGAGAATTTCTTTTCTCCTACAAATCAATGAAACACATAACCCAATAAAAGATAAGAAGATATTTGAATAAGCACCTATTAAAGAAGATATCTAAATGAACAACAACAATGTGAATATTATTGTTTGTCAGTCATTAGGCAAGTGAAAATTTACATCAGAAGGAAATTTTACTGGACATCCATAAGAATGGTTACTGAAAAGGCAGTACCCAAGTACTGGCAGATTATGGAGTAACTCTCACACACTTGTTGGTAGTTAATTGGTACACTGATATTAGAATGCTGCATGTCATATTTATAACAGTGATCATATCTGTACCCTGTAATTTCTGCACCCTGATTCAGTAATGCCACTTTTTGCTATATAAAACAAAAATGCATTGTTATGTTCACTAAAAGATATTTACACAGCAATGGTCACAGTAATATTTATGATAGTAAAAATCTAGAAAAATCAATTGTATATCAACAGTAGAATAAACATATACATTTTTATAAAATCAAATAATGTACAGAGGTGGAAATATATGAACTACAGGAGTAGGCTCCAAAATAGATGTATTTCACAGACATAATATTGAAAAAATGAGTCAAATACAAGAAAATGATACTTTATTTTTTTATTTATTATTTTTTGAGACAGGGTCTCACTATGTAGTTGAGTCTGACCTGGAACTCATTATGTAGCCCAGGCTGGTCTTGAACTCACAGCGATCCTCCTGTCTCAGCCTCCCAAGTGCTGGGATTACAGGCATGCGCCACCACGCCCAGCTTAGAAAATGACACTTTAAACTTCTTTATAAAACTTTTTAAAAACCCACAAAATTGAATTTAAAGGAAAGCAAAATGAAATTAGCATAAAGTCCAGGAAGAATTCTCTTTGAGGAGGAGGAATAGTGAAGCAATATAGGAGAGGAATGGGGCATAAATACAGGAAATATTCTTGTTTACCTGGCTCTTTATTGTAATGCTATTCTTTAAAGCATGCAAGTATATTCTACATATGCTTTTGTTTGAATGACTTATTCAACAATGAGTATTTTTAAGGTTGCCAGGGTACTCCAACATTTGTTCATATTTCCCTTCCAGTTTCAGCCTTGTTTGGCATGTGGTCTAAGTCCAGTGAGACAAAGCATTGGCTTTTATTTTGCAATAATAAGGCTGCTTTTTCCTTGCCTCACCCCAGCCTCCACTCAGGTTCTGTCTGTTTCTGACAACAACTTGATTCATGTAGCAGTTTCTATTACTCTGAACTATTGGAAGCAAAGACAGTGTCTTAGTTACTTTTCTCATTGCTGAGACAAAATACCAGACAGCCCAAATTAAAGGAGGAAAGGTTTATTGTAGCTCAAAGTTTTTAGAGATTTTTATCCATAGTCAGCTGTGTCCAAGGCAAGATAGTATGGCAGAAGGACATTGCAGAGGATAAACAGGTCATGGCAGGCAGAAGGCAGCAAAGCAGCAAAGTAGTAAAGGAGCAGCAAGTGATAACCACAGCAGTGCTCTTTTGGTATCTTATAATTTATTCAAATTACATGCCTTTAGCCAGCATGGTGGCGCATGCCTGTAATCCCAGCACTTGGGAGGCTGAGGCAGGAGGATCGCTGCAAGTTCGAGACCAGCCTGGACTACATAGTGAGTTCCAGGTCAGTCTCAACTAAATAGTGAGACCCTGTCTCAGAAAAACAACAACAACAACAACAACCCACACCAAATTACATGCCTTTAGAGCAAGTAGCACTCACCCAAGATGGAGCACCTTAATCCTACCCAGAACTATGCCAAACCATTTAGAGAACTAATTTAGTAATCAGACAACCTTGGTCCCAGTATCACACATTCTAGATCTATCCACCTCTGAAAAACCCCACCTAAGACTGCCTGAGGCTTTGGGGGACACCTAGACACAGCCATAAAATCCTGCCCCTGCCCTCCTCAAAGACTCCTGCAATCCCTTTATGCAAAAGTAATTTAATCCATCTCCAATAGTTACCAAAATCTTAAAAAGTTTCAGTATTACTGAAAAGTCAAAGTCTAAAGTCTTCTCTGAGATTTAAGGCAAACTCAGCTGCAAGCCTCTGCACAAATGAAAAGAAAGTTAAACACTTTCAACGTTCATTGGCACAAAATAGACATTTCTGTTCCAAAAGTTACAAAATAAGGACAGAAAGGAATGGGAACAAATCAAGACCAAAATCCAGCAGAGCAAATATTAAATCCTGCAGTTGCATGTCCAGCATTTCTGGCAATCTGTGGCAAGTTGCAAACTCCAAAGCGCTCTGCCCCTAGGTACTTCTGGTGGTTGTGTTTCCCATGGCTTCTCTCTTGACTCGCTCCTTTCACCTTGCCTCAAACAATCCACACTCCTGGCTTCTCCAACCTTCTTAGGTCTCCACTGAACCTTAGGCTTCACACTCATAACTTCACAAGCTGCTCTCCCAGGGGCACACTGCCTGGCTTCTCAGGCCTTCTGAAATCCAGGTGGGGCCTTCCTGACCTCACAACTTTTGCATTCTGCATGCACCTAAAACCAGCACCATGTGACTATGCCAAGGTCTGTTGCCAACTGAAGCAGTAGCCAGACTTCCTTCTCCCTTGGCTGAAGGAGTCAAGTTCCTGTATCACTGAGCACTCTGAGCCCAATCCTGAGGAACAAATTCTGTAGGCTACCACCATTCTGGAACATGATGCTATGGGCCTCTCTTCTCAAAGCAAATTCTTTCACTTTTGCAACCTTGAGGCTGCAGAGGCTGGGGTCTTGCTGTTTCTTTTGATGTCCTCAGGCCATATTTTCCATTGTTATGTTCTTCTTAACAACCAAGTTCTCTTCTGCCCTATCTTTGCAGTTCACAGCTTTATGAAGCTTCCTTTCTGGCCAAATTCACAATGTTTTAGATCTTTCTGCTGGGCTCTTTGCTCTTGATCTTGACATGGATCTGGCTAAAAGCCTCCAACAGTAGCTATACCACTGCCTCAACATTAAACTGCCTTGAAATTTCTTCTCCAAGGTTAATTAGCTTGCTGCCCTTAATCTCAGCCTCAGGGAAAGTCTCTGGACATGAGTAAAGTGCAGAAAACTTTCTGTCAAGGGATAATACACATGATCTGGAGTCCAGTAGCCCATGAAGTCCTTTACAGCAAAAACCTCTTGATCCTGGTCTTTACCATCAGCAGTTTTTAACAGCATTCTGGTCTTCTGAGTGTTGAACAGAATCTCCCATCAAGTATAGTTTAAAGCATTTCAGGGCTGCTTCTTCAGCCACCATCTCCAAACCTTTCCAGATCTTCCCCACAAGCTAGGCTTTTGAGGCCATATGGCCAGGTACAGCAGTAACCCTACTCTTGGTACTAAATTCTGTCTTAGTTACTTTTCTCATTGCTGAGACAAAATACCAGACACCCCAAATTAAAGGAGGAAAGATTTATTGTAGCTCATAGTTTGTAGATGTTTCAGTCCATAGTCAGCTGGCTCCAAGGCAGGATAGTGTATGGTAGATGGGCATCACAGAGGAGAAACAGTTCATGGTGGGCAGAAGGCAGCAAAGCAGCAAACTACTGAAGCAGCAGGAAGTGACAACCATGGCAGCTATCTTTGTCCCTTATATTTTATCCAGATATATTCCCTTAGAGTGTGTAGTACTCACACCCAGGGTGGGGAACCCCTAGTCCTACCCAGAACTACTCCAAACCAATTAGAGGACCAATTTAGTAATCACACACCCTTGATCCCAACATCACACACTCTAGATACACCCACCTCTAAAGAGCCCTACCTATGACCATGTGAGACTTTGTGGGGACATCTAGACATAAGCCCTAATAGACAGGGACAAAGCTTGACTAGCTTAGATAAAAGGCCAGTTTATTAGCTTATAACCAAGTGGTAGGAAGGGCATGTAGGAATGACTATTCCAAAGATTAAAGAGCAGGAACCACTGGCTGGTGACTTCAGAGTCTTCCTTTGCCATCTTCTGTCTGCTTCTCTTAGTGTCTTATGCTCATTTTTTTCAGATACTTCATCGACTTCTCAGGTAAACCATAGCTTCTGAAATCCCCTGGTCATATATAACTACCTGTAGATGAAGGAGAGACTTCCTTCTTCCCTATGTTGCCCAGTTAAACAAAGTGCTTCAGGAGCCCTGGCTAGACAGAAAAACAGACAGACAGATTACCCCACACACACACACCACCTTTCTATGGACAGGATGCAGGATCTCATAATTAATAGTTTCCCTTATAATTTTCTGGTAGAAAAAAAAAGAATTCTTCAGATGATGCAAGGTGCTGTTGTTCAAAGGAAGAAAGCATATTCACTACAGATATCCATCTTGTTGATAATTTGAGTTTTCTATCTGAAATATCAGAGTTCTTTCTCATCAGTTTACCATGACTTCTGGGATATCATCTTGTTTCAAACCTAGAGTTCATCTTCCAATTAGTCTCAAAGCTCATGCACAGAAAGTAGAATAATAAGTCTGCACTTTATAGGCAAATTGGCCTTACAGAGTTTGCCTCAGGAACATGGAAAAATGAAAGCAAAGTCCACTTTGATGCTGAAAGGAATAAAATAATAGATTACTTCTGAGAAGGGTTTGTAGGAGCAGGCCATAATGAAAAGAACATTCTAGGTGTGAAATCAAGACTGGATATACCAGTGACTTGCTGAATTATCTTAAGTAATTCCTTTGCCCTTACTGGGTCTGTCTTAGAATATGAAGAATGCAGTACTGCTGGTCAGGAAAAAAGTGGGACAGCTCTTGAGGTTGTCAGAGATGTGTAATATAACAGGTCACTTCTTCCTATAAATAATCCTTGGAAAGGCCCCAGGATTCCTCTTACAAGGGCAGTGACGATTTCCTGGGGTTATGAAGGAAATGTTTTGTTCCTTGTAAAACCAAAGACTTGTGCCTAGTGTCATGCCAAGCTTGGAAAGCATAAAGCTAGGCTTGGCCTCAAATCATAGCCAAACACCTTCTTGAGGACCAGAATCTTCTTGGTTTTGACAATGCCGCTCATTCTTGGAATACTGGCAACAGAGGGAACTGCCATAGAAACAGAGTGGACGGAAGTCCTAAAGGAGCTGAGGTAGGATGGAGAAAAGCTCTTAAAGGCCTCTTGGGCCCAGACAAAAGTGTAGGAGGCAAAGCTGGAGCCCACACTTTAGCTTTGTGACCATTTCCTTCAGAAAAAGTACGAAGCTCAGAAGCAAACTCCCTACCACTTTCCAAATAAGTGACTGAGATCTGATCACTCTTTCTAGAAGTCATACTGTTATGTGGCCTTGACATCAGGGATTATTATTAGTGCTGAACCTGCAACAAAGTGACAAGCCCCATGACTCATTCTGGGTACTCAGTCTTAGGCCCTGGGTATGGATTCTGTTCCCTGTCTGTCTGACTGATAAAAGTACCTGCATTATCTATCCTCTTAAAAGAGATTAAGAAACAGTAGAGCTCAGAGATCATGAGCATCAAGGACCCCCAGGTGATAAGAAAACCAACATGGAGAGAAATGTGAAGATTTGTCAAAACAATTTCCAGAGCTATTAGCATGGAGAATAAATATCATAGTTATGTATCTCAAGGCTCTTCCTCTTCTAAGCTTCCTAAGAAATGACAGTGTCATTCTTATTTCCTGGTGTCAGCCCAGATTGGAACCAGCTTCTGAGAGATAAGAAATAAAGAGCAAAGGAATGGTGGTCCTGTAGCCCCTGTCCACAAAAAGAAGGGAACAAACATTCAGGAGCACAGACCCCCATCTATCCCTGGAGCTGCTCTCTCACTGCTGGGCATGGTTTGGGGCACACTACATAGAAAAGTTACTGGACCTACAGGAAAAACATGGTAGTGAAACAGACAAAATGAGTCTAAATGTGGATATGTTTCTGCTTTAACAGATTCTGTTGGATCACAAGACCCTCTGTTAAGTCGTGCTTGGGCCAAATCACAAGATATGGAAGAATCAGTTTCAGGTCGAGGTCTAAATGTTGAGGGAAGTCACATTTCAGATAAAGGAGAAGAGTCCATGGGAGAACATGAGGAATTTGAGAAAGGACATATTTGGCACAATGTAGAAGATCCTGAGGGAGAACACGTTTCAGTTAGACGAGAACACCTTGAGAAAAGTGTCCGGCCCAATGAAGAAGATCCCAAGGGAGAACGTGTTTCAGTTAGACATGAACACCTTAAGAAAAGTCACATTCGGCACAGTGCAGGCAATCCTACAAGAAAACGCATTTCACTTAGACATGAAGAACTGGAGAAAGGGCACATTAGGTACAAATCAGAAGATCCTGAGGGAGAACGGGTTTCACTAAGACATAAAAGTATTGAGAAAACTCACAAGCGGTTTCGCGATGATTCCATGGAAGATTCCACTGAAAGTCTTGATCGTACTATGAAAGGTCGCATTCGTTTTAAGTGACAAGAACCCATAGTAGCACTAGTTTCCATGGAAGGTCAGGATACTGTGAAAGATAATCTTTGGGTCAAAAGTCAGGGTGCCTCAGAAGAACGATTTTCAGTTAAGGGTCAAGATTCAGTGCAAGGTCACCTGCAGATGAAAGGACAAAGTTCCATGGCAGAACGATCTTCAGTTACAGGTCAAGATTCTTTGAAAAGTCGCCTGCAGATGAAAGGACAAGATTCCGTGGCAGATCGATTTTCAATTACAGGTCAAGATTCTTTGAAAAGTCGCCTGCAGATGAAAGGACAAGATTCCATGGCAGAAGGATTTTCACTTGCAGGTCAAGATTCTTTGAAAGGTTGCCTGCAGTTGAAAGGACAAAGTTCCATGGCAGAATGATTCTCAGTTACAGGTCAAGATTCTTTGAAAGGTTGCCTACAGATCAAAGGACAAGATCTCATGGAAGAACGATTTTCAGTTGCAGGTCAAGATTCTGTGAAGGACCTTGCTCGGATCAAAGGGCAAGATGCCATTCAGTCGGGGTTCTCAATTAAAAGTCAAGGATCTGTGAAAGGTCTCACTGGGGATATTTGAACCCTAAAGAGGTGAGCAATACTTGAAAGCAGAGGAAATCCCTGCTCACACAGAAGAGGGTTGAGTGGTGGAGAGCTATCTCAACGTGGTCCGAGGGAGTAAATGGGGGAAGTGCTGAATAGACAGGCTGTGGAATCTGAGAGGTCATAATCAAAAGTACAGATTGGGTGTCACTACCTCGTCATAGTTCTGAGTGCTTTGACCCACTGAATCACGCCTCTGATTCTCTTCTCTCCCACCAGGTGGATCTTGTCCTGGCTGCAGCTGCCCCAGGCCCAGGCCTTCAGGCTCCCTTCTGGTTCAGCTACTGGTATCACTACCCTCTCCCACACTGCCCCTTTATCCACCCATTCTGGATGCCCAAGACTGGGGGTTGCCTTTTGTCTTCCACTTTTCAATAAAAAGATCTCCTTCTGCTCCATTTTGTTTCTGGCTCATATGATTTCTGGGTTCCTGAAAGGTCCATGGAGGTGGATGTGAATGTGGGACATAGTCTCCCCAGCGGAAAGAAAAAAGAAGGACCCAGGAGATGAATTCCTGTGTGAAGGAGAGCAAGACTAGGAACAAGAGCCTCATTCTGAGGGCCTAGTGTTAAAACCCAATATTCAGCCTAAGTGCTCTATTTGAGTCTCTATTTGAGCAGGAAATGCAAATTTGTAGACCCTGCCTTTGGCCTAGGACCAGAAAGAATAAAACATAGAATGAAATAAGAAACAAAGGATGATGAATAAATTATAGGCACATCATTTCCTTTCCAAGGCATTGTCACTCCTGACCTGTTTACTGTTAGCCCTGCAGAGTTGCCAGGCAATCTTGCAGCTAAATCTACAGCTTTCTCCTTCCTCTCCTCTAACATTCCCATGGATCTGTATCTTTCCTAGAAAACAGACAAGGAATCATGGCAGAGGTGCAGGAAAATCCATACTTATAAAAATTTCATGGGTTTGGGCTTAAAATTCTCCCACTAACACATCATTTTAGGTTAGACAGCGTCCTCCCATAGACTTGTTTTAAGATGTGAATGATCTGCAATAATACACAAGATCCTAATAAGATTGCTGACATTTAGAAATGGGAAGAAAGGAGCTAAAGGTGTAGGGAAGGTGGGATGGGTAGGGGAAGGGTAATAAGGGAAAAGAAAAAAATGTGAGATAATGAAAAGATGGAAATAAAGTGGTTGTAGATGGGGAGG